AGGTTTGACAGTATGAAAAAATAAATACCACCCAAGCCTAGTGTGAACACATCACCTGTAACACATGACTGAACATATCATGTATACCACGTGAGCGTGAACACATCACCTATACAACATCAGTGTGAACACATCACCTGTACCACATGAGTGGGAGCATGTGACCTATACCACATGTGTGTGAACACATGACATATACCACATGAGTGTGAACTTATCACCTGTACCACGTGAGTGTGAACACATCACTTATACCATATGACTGTAAGCCTATCACCTATTACATATGCCTCTGAACACATTGCTTATACCATATGACTGTGAACACACTGCTTATACTGTACCATCTGACTGTGAACGCATCGCGTATACCATATGACTGTGAGCCTATCACCTATACCATATGCCTCTGAACACATTGCTTATACCATATGACTGTGAACACACTGCTTATACTGTACCATCTGACTGTGAACGCATCGCGTATACCATATGACTGTGAGCCTATCACCTATACCATATGAATATGAACGCATCAACTATACCATAAATGTCATCCACTTTAAATTATGTCAACACTGTCCACTTCATGGGTGTACATGTACATGTAAATGACAACATTGTAAACATATAAACTTCACCATTTGTAAACACTATGTCCGTTCTTATGAGATAAAATATAGGTAACCAGTGTGATATTTTCTGCTTCATTGCCAAGTTTGAATGAATTTTTATTGATCACAATACATTTGCTGGAACCCCAACGTAGTGAAACAAGTAACAAATATCTATGATTACACATAAAAAACTGTGGAGTTTTTAATATATCCAACATTGGGGTTTATTTTTTTATCTAAAACAAAAATGTGCAATATTTTAAAAGTCAAACAAGGTCTGAATATATCTTGGTCTTAACAGGTATGAGTCCAGCACTGAAATGAAAAATTTCTCCTTTGGCTTCCATTTCATGAACCCATCTGATGCCCAGACTTGGAAGGTCTCTTTGGGAACATCAAGAAGGTGATAGGAGCAACCTGGAGCTGGAGATGCGAGCACCAGCATTCTGTGGGTCAGCTGCATTGTGGAAGATGACAAAGCATCTTTTCTCACTGTAATATCTTCTCATTTCATTTTGTTTTACTAAAAATCCTCTGGGTGTTTCTGTGTGGTATCACAAGGTTCTGTGCCTGCAGCTCATGGCTGAATGTGTGGTGCGCGTGTGTGTGTGTGTGTGTGTGTGTGTATGGTCCAGGTATACATTACATTGTGGGGACATTTGTTCCCCACAATGTGATAAAAACCTGTTATTTTGATGTTGTGAGGCACATTTTTTTTGGTCCCCACAAAGAGAAATTCAAATTTAGAAAAATCTGTGACTGCAATCAAAAACTAAAAATGCCATTTTGTTTGGTTACCTATGGTTAAGGTTAGGCCTGGGTGGGGGGTAAGGTTGTCATTGCTGGAATCAGGGTTCTTCCCGTTGAAATGAATGGACAGTGCCCACAAAGAACAGGTGTGTGTGTGTGTGCACATGTTTGTGTGTGTACATGTGCGCACATACTCCTGCCTAGTGATTGCACAGAGCAATGGCCATCTTGTCTATTTGTATTGTATTTTTGTGGTAATGGCGGAAAAGTTTTTAGGTAGACTGACTGCTTGCATTACTCCTTCCACCCAGGAGAGGGCAGCAGGTCACACACATGCTGGGGGACCGATTGCCTGCATTGTTTTTTCACCATGGAAAAAACGGGAGTTTGTATACATGGAGGCTTTTGTACCAGATGCATCTTACCTTCACAGGAAGGTCTCTAAAGGAACATGATGATGATGGTGATGATGAAGATGAGGAATAACTGATCAAACAGTCTGCTCCAACAATAAATATATTTTGTGGGAGGACCCCCACTCCTTGGGTGAATCCTGAGAGTGTGGGGGGAGGGGGTGATGAGGGGGCTCTGTGGGGCGGGGGGAGGGGACATGAATGTCAGCATCTAAATGTCTCTCACCGGCTTATATACAGCTTTACCAAAAACATGTACTTGAGCAATATTTGTATACTTAGGGAAAGCATTTTATGGTGCATATGAATTTATATCTGTAAGAAGCATGTTTTATAAAACCTATGGTTAGTATTCTTCTGATACCTAGGTGTCTTATTTGGTTTGTGTTGATAAGCATACACGTCTGCATCTCTACATGCTGGAGGATGGAGCCCCGTGATAAATGTTTTTTCAACCACCAGAGGGAAGCAGAGAGTAATCAGCAGTCTGCAGTGACTAACCAGGAGACAAAAATACAGTGCCAACATAAAACTACAGTTTCAGTGCTTTAGTTAATGCTTTTAACCAAATATCTTACCAGTTCTACATATCTTTTACATAATATTTTACTAAAGTAATTCCTTTATACAGTCTGGCTTAACACAAGCTCTTTGACCCTGTATTTTTCTGGAACTGGATCTCAACTGCAACCACTACATCACCTCATGAAAAAATTCAATTAAGGTGTAAAAATAATCTGCACAGGAAGGGGGAAATGACGTAATTTTCCATAAAACAATCTTACAAATGCAAATATTTTCCTAAAGGCTTATGCAAATATCTGACTGTTAACAATTACTGCTGGAATGTAGTGTTGGCTTGGAATGAACAAGATGATATTGGGTCTTCACTTGTAGTTCCCTCCATTCAAACCCTGGAGGGGATGCCCATCCACTGCAGGACACAATGGTAGGGGGTGCACTGGATGAGAAATCTGTCCACCACAGGCAACATGAAAGGGGGCGACGTGGAGCGGATGTCTGTCCACCACACGGCACAAAGGTAGGGGGCTCCCTGGATGAGAAGCCTGTCCAGCGGGTGGTGATTGTGCCAACCATCGTCATAAATGAGGGGTGAACATGAGAATGTACATGTGTGTTGGGGGTCAGGTATCAAGCCCTAACTCGAACCCTTGCAGGTGTGAGGCTCCTCTGGTGCTGTGCAGGATATCAAGCACATCATACTGTATGTGCTGTGCTTACCTCTTCAAATGACAGACATTTAAACACAATCAATACACACACAGGCATCAGTGAATACCAAAGCTCTGGACATTTTACTTACTATTCAGCATCCTTTCTGTCACCAGCCTCCGTAACGTACCCCACTCACTCCAAATGACATCCGAAAGAAGCATTTTGATTATAACTAGGGCTCCAGACTGCCCATTTAGTTGCATTTTGCGACCATTTTTTGAGACAGTGTGACTAAATTTTATAACCAGGTGCAACAGTTCTACTTGCCATTATTAATTTTTTAAACCATCATTGTTTATCGTGTGAAGCAGCAGGAGGGAGCGAGGATTGGTGTGTAAATTAGAAACGGCTTTAAATTAAGAACCTGGAATTCGATAATGTTTGCATGCATATTTGCAATGCGTTGAAATGAATAGTTGTGCAGATAAAAATACAGATAAGACATTTGAATTATGGTTCCACGTATTGATTCCTACCAGCGCATTTTAATCAATTATATAAGGGTTAATGCAGGATGACTCCACTTACATGTCTGTACTTGGATTTACGAACCAAAAACACATTTATAAGTAGAACTACTATTTAGACTTAAGCAGTAAAATGACAGCCCAGCATTCTGCGCGATATTTCCTAACTGTGGGTTGCAGAGGGAAAGTATGTAGTAATATAGGCCCTATTCATTCAGCCATTAATTCATTAATTTAGCTTTATATAACTCCTGGTATTAAGATGTGTTATGGATAAAACCCAATTTATTTACTGTTTACCGATTATTAGAACCAGACCTGCATACCATCCAGTTAAGGCAGATTAAACAGATATGTAAATGATTACTGACATCGGTGGCAAACTGGCAACATTCTGAGTGTGGTCGTTAACATTATTTATTTGATCTTGAAACATTTTAGCAAAGTATTGAAATGACATAACTGCCTCAAGTATCTTCTGTTGTAATAATTGAACTCTTTAAAGAGAATCAATGCAGTACTTTGTTACTGAAACATTTGAACAATTTGTTTTAGGCGTATGATAATCGGATACAAGGCTGGGTTTCGATGATCAGATCTGGATTTAAAATCTAAACGTGTGTGAAGGAGATAGAGATCAGAGTGGAGAGCTAATGCGAGGCTGTCGTCATCATAAACACGGGTTGGGGACAATTCTGCACAGGATGTCATCTGCTAGTGTCTGGTCCATAAGTTACTCTCACTCTCGCTTGGCCCTTTGGTCACAATGACATAAACTTTGGTGTTTATATTTTAAAAAAATGCCATTTAACTTAATGACTTTTTCCTTTAAATCTGAATGAAGTGAATTGTATGTTTATTACCAAAGCATTTACCAGTAATACAGTTAAGATGTGAAAAACATGAATGCATTGTGTTGCATATCGATATAAGTGGTGCACCTAGATTTTGTGCTGGTGCCCCTATCATGTTCGGTAAGGAACCTCAGCTTCTATTATTGGAGAAAGTTAGTCTGGAGCCCTAGTTGTAACCTAATGTCATTTAAACTTTCTGAAAAATAAATAAATAAACAAGAATACAAACAAATAAATTAAAAAGTTAAAAAGAAAATCTAATAATAATAATAATTGATACTTTATTGATCCCCGTGGGGAAATTGTTTTTACGCCTCCCTCAGTTTGCTCTTTGCAGAGTAAGTTGTCTGTGAAGGGCAGCCACACTTAGTATGATGTTTTTTGTACAAAAGTCACAGCCAAATTCTCTAGTTAAAGTGCTATTAAATATCTAGTATCTAATTTTCTTTGTCAGCTTTAATAACTTTGGAGAGCAAGACTCTTTTCTTTAGATGGCTAATTGTGGTTGATATCCTCATTCAAGGGCATATCACCTCAAGCTTTTGGAAAAGAATTTGTGTCAAAAGTTTGTGTCACTTTCAGAACAATAAAGAAAATTAGCAACCATGTGTCAAAAATAGATTATGTCTGGAGACAATGGAACCTCTGAGTGTGTTCTTATAGCTCACGGCATATTGCAGCCTGGCTATACATAAGCCTGTGTTATAAAATACACTAGGAATGGTTACTGGATGGAGGAAATAAAAATTCTAATATCCATCCATCCATCTTCCAAACGCTCAGCTATCAAAGGAAACACTCTGGACAGGATGTCCATCACAGGTCAAGTGTGAGTAAGTACGTGTGCAGCTCACCATACTGATGCTTCACCATAGTGCACATGAGCCAGAATGGAGCAGAACATCTCAGAATATTGTTCCACATATCAAGTTTGAGTATTTTCCCTTATGTTTCAGCATCTTTAATTCCAAAGCAATTTTCTAGTATAGGCTGTGTATTCCGTGGCGCTAACCATTTATTAAAAGGACTAACGTTTCAAGAGTGAGCATAGATGCGTAGAAGGTGTGGGCTCGATGTCACTCACCCTCTCTGAGTCGCTGTCTGATGAGGTCCCACAGCATGTGACCATTAAGGGACATATTTCTCTTCACTCTTGCAATAGAAGGAGTGGATATTGGTCTATCTGTGCCCTTATTCTACAGCCGTGGGGCGGCTCTAGCATCAGCTGATACTTACGTGGATGTGCAAACTTAGTGTTAAACTTTACATTCACTCAAAGCTCATGGGCTATTGGAGGAACGTATCAGAGAGTCAGCCTAAGGCTCCCATTTCATGGTGAGTGCGAGGAGGGTCCTCTCAGCTGAGCTGGCCTCTGAAATCACAGCCAGATAGAGAGAGGTAACTCCGGCCCACAGTGCTGCCTGGGGGGCATCGGTCCTGTTTTTTTTTCCATTTCCATGAATCAGTGAGTCTCAGCAGTTTCTGTTTGCCAGCCCGGGAGCTGCGGTCTCTCTCTCTCTCTTTGTGTCTGGGCTGTTTTGTTGGGTGAAATTGGGGCAGGCTGTGCCAGAGACTTGCAGTACAAGTTGATTAATGCATTCCTGGGGCCCAAAGAATTCTCTGGAATGCACCGTATCGGGCTGTTTGTGTCGGCTGGCCTGCATTCCTATGTCTCATTCATATGTGCCGGAAAAGGAAGTGGATAAGGTCTGTCTGCGCAGGCCGGCAGTGAGACTGCTCCACTGCTCCACACACGCCTCTGTCTTTGGGGGGGGGGGGGGGGGGGGTTT